GTACTTATTTAAGGCTGGTTTGTGTCCCAGTATATGGTCTATCCTGGAGAACGCTCCATGTGCACTGGAGAAGAATGTATATTCTGCTGCTTTAGGATGAAGTGTTCTGAATATATCTGTTAAGTCCATCTGGTCCAGTGTGTCATTCAAAGCCATTGTTTCCTTGTTGATTTTCTGATTAGATGATCTGTCCATTGCTGGGGTGTTGAAGTCCCCTACTATTACTGTATTACTATCAATGAGTTTATGTTTGTGATTAATTGACTTATATATTTTGGGGGGTTTCACATTTGGAGCATAAATGTTTACAATTGTTAGGTCTTTTTGATGTTTAGACCCCTTAATTATGATAGAATGCCCTTCTGCATCTCTTATTACAGTCTTTATTTTAAAGTCTAGATTGTCTGATATAAGTGTGGCTACTCCGGCTTTCTTTTGTTGACTATTAGCATGATAGATGGTTCTCCATCCCCTTATTTTCAATGAAGGTGTCTTTAGGTCTAAAGTGGGTCTCTTGTAAGCAGCATATAGATGGATCTTGTTTTCTTATCCATTCTGTTATCCTATGTCTTTTGATTGGAGCATTGAGTCCATTGACGTTTAGAGTGAGTATTGAAAGATTAAAAAAATTTTTCTTTTAATGTTTATTTATTTTTGAGAGAGAGCGCAAGTGAGTCACGGAGAGGCAGAGAGAGAGGGGGACACAGAATCCAAAGCAGCTCCAGGCTCTGAGCTGTCAGCACAGAGCCAGACATGGGGCTCAAACCCACAAACCGGTAGACCATGACCTGAGCCAAAGTCGGACTGAAGTCTTCTAAATTCCTTTTTTTAAAATGTGGGATTTGAGGGGCACCTAGGTGGCACAGTCGTTTAAGCGTCCGACTTCAGCCAGGTCACGATCTCGTGGTCTGTGAGTTCGAGCCCCGCGTCAGGCTCTGGGCTGATGGCTCGGAGCCTGGAGCCTGTTTCTGATTCTGTGTCTCCCTCTCTGTCTGCCCCTCCCCCGTTCATGCTCTGTCTCTCTCTGTCCCAAAAATAAATAAAAAACGTTGAAAAAAAAATTAAAAAAAAAAAAAGTGGGATTTGAGTTACTGTATAGTCTCCTTTCATTTTAGCGTGAGGGACACCCTTCAGTGTCTCTTGTCTTCAACAATATTTCTCAGTTTTTTGTTTCTCTGAGAAATGTTTTAATTTCACCCTCATTTTCAAGAATAGTTTTATTGGGTATGAAATTCTTGGTTGGTGCTCTGTTTCTTTCAGCACCTTGAATGTCCTCCCTCTGCCTTTCCTGGTGTCCAGGTATTTGATTACAAGTCAGGTGTTAATCTTATTGGGAATCTCTTGTACGTCACTGGTTGTAGTTTCTTACTGCTTTATAGTCAGTAGTCTGGGAGTGCCTGGGGCGCTCACTCGGTTGAGCGTCCAACTTCGTCTCAGGTTATGATCTTGCGGTTCGTGAGTTCAAGACCCACATCAGGCTCTGTTCTAACAGCTCGGAGCCTGGAGCTGCTTTGGATTCTCTGTCTCCCTCTCTCTCTCTGCCCCTCCCCCACTCATGCTCTGTCTTTCTCTCTCAAAAAATAAATAAATGTTACAAATTAAAGTCAGCAGTCTGACTGACTATAATATGTCTAAGTGTGGATCTCTGAGTATCCTGCTTGGAGTTTTTTGTTTGTTTTTTTAATTTGAGGTGTTTTGGGCCCAAATATTCTTTAGTATCTAATATTCTTTCTGCCACTTGTTGTCTCCCTTTGCCTTCTGGTGTTCTCATCGTGTATATTTCGGTTTGCCTGATAGCATCCCACAGGTCTCTGAAGCTTTGTTCATTTTTCCTTATTCTTTTATCTTTATGTTCCTTAGACTGGGTAATGTCAGTTGACCTAACTCCAGGTTCACTGATTCTTCTGCCTTTTCAAACTGCTGTTGAACCCTTCTACTGAACAACCCTTTTCGTTATTTTACATTTCAACTTGAGATTTTATATTTTTGTTTTCATATAGTTTTTTAAATGTTTGTTTATTTTGAGAAAGAAGAAAGAGAGTGTGTGCACTCACACACGTGAGCAAGAGAGAGGCAGAGAGAGGGAGAGAGAACCGCAAGCAGGATCTGGCTGCCAGTACAGTGCCCGATGTGGGACCCAGTCTCACAAACCGTGAGATATATGACCTGAGCCAAAATCAAGAATCAGATGCGTAACTAAGCCACTCAGGCACCCCTCTATTTTCATATTTAAAATAGCTTATTTAAAGTGTTTGTCTAAAAATAATAATAAAGTGTTTGTCTAGTACATCCAACATCTGGTGTTTGTCAGGACAGTTTCTGTTGCCTGCTTTCTACCCACTCCCCTGGATTGCCAATTGTTTCCTGGGTATTTGCATGTTTCACCTGTCTTTGTGTAGTAAACAACCCTCAGATTGTTGTAAGGCTTTAGTTAGCTTCTGAAGTTCTGAAAAATTTATTTTGACAATTAGGCAGTGTTGATACTGCTTTTCTGGTGTCGAGTTTTGGAGGTGTTTACTTGGCCATTTTGGAAGTACTTCCTCCAGGTAAATCCTTTTAAAGCGTCCTTCATGAACCTATCTGTAGGTGACTCTTCACCTGAGCTGATTCTTGATTAAAACCAAAGCACCTATCAACCTGTTGGTTAGTATTTATAGACTTTCTTAGATTCATCTTCAAAAAAATATTATTTTATTCTGTTTGTTTTAATGTAATTACTGGTCTGGCAAGAGATTCAGTTAAGAAGTGGTTAGTACTTGCTCTGTACCTACAACTGTTTCAGAGGATGTGAAAATGGGGTATACATGACATACTTTTGAAACCCTTGGGGATAGAACTGATAGTAATTGAGATAATAGGAATGGACACAAGGGAGATCCATTTAGGTTAGAAAGTCAGAAGCATTTCCTAAAGGGAAGGGTCACTTGAACATGTCACAAAGGATAAATAGTAGAGGAGGGGGAAGACAGTCAAGGCCAAAGGTATGACATTAGCATCGTAGAAGAAAACAGGAAGCACAGACCTGCCCTTCTGCTTAGGAGAGTTTTGGTTTTTTTTGTTTTTACTGTAGAATGATGAAAAATAAAGATAAGTAAGTAGCTTGCTGATAGATTCTAGAAGTGGTCTGAAAGTGATAGATTCTAACAGGTCTGAAAACCTATTAGACATTTATTATGTATTAGTAAATGAAGTGTTAGGAAAAAAAGTAAACACATTATTTTGGGCTATGTTTAAGTTATTTTGCACACAGGATTTGAAGTTGGTAAATTAATTTCTGCTGAATTATAAAGTTTTAGGTGTTGCATATGTGACATTCTCCAATATTTTTAGGTGTCATTTGCCAATGCTCTACATCGGATTAGAATATGGATTGACCAATAACTCAAAGTTGGCTGAAAGATTCTTTGGCCAAGCGCTAAGCATTGCACCAGAAGACCCTTTTGTTATGCACGAGGTTGGCGTGGTTGCATTTCAGAATGGCGAGTAAGTCTTGAAAGGCCCAAAACCCTGTTTTCTTTCTGTAAATGAAATAAAACCAGTCACTAGAGTTTAAGTGATTAGGGACTCTTCAATAGATTTTTGTTTTTAAATGTGTATTATTTGAAGAGAAGGAGGCAGACATTAGAAAAAAAATAGAAAGTGTTATTGTGGAATTCTTTAAAAATACTGTACTGGGATTTTGGTCCCCTGGGAGGTGGGCTCCTGCAGACTCCATTCCAAGACTGGACAGTTATTGCTGACTGTCCAGTAACCACACCCTGTAGGGTGCCTGGAGGCCTTGCAGAACCCTCAGTCAGTCATCTCCTTGTTGGTTAGGAGTTGGAGTCATACATTGAAGGGAGATTGCCCACAGCTGTGAAACAGAAATGAAGTTAATCCAAAAATTAAACTAATTAGAATGGCCCAGATTCCTGGTCATTTGAGGCATTAGTGTAACCTTGGATATTTGTAGAATAATTCAGTATCATGCTCTAAAGAGAAAAATGTCTGTAGTGCTTTGCACTAAATTATACATAAATTTAAAAACAACAAATTAGTACTACTGTGTTTTTTATGGCATGTGTGTGTATTCTAAGTATTGGATTATCTAGTGTTTACAAAAGCAAGTTTGGAGCTGTTGTAAAATGATGTAATATACAGCCTGTTGGTTTGTAGCCCAGGGCCCGCTCCTGGAGTACTTTCATACTTACGTGCACGTTCCCAGCCAAGGTCAGAGGTGACATTCTGCCTTCCTGTTTCTGCTCTCATACTGTAAATGAGTTTGTGGGTTTTTTTTCAGTGCCACATTTTTCGCATTTTTGTGTTTTTTGTTGATGATTTCACTGTTTGAAATGATCCCCAAGCCTCGTGCTGATGTGCTGTTAGTGACCGTAAACACAAGAAGGCTGTGATGACCCTGTGTTAGATGAGCTGTGTTGCTGGCTGTGAGTTCAGTGTCAGTAAATCAGTTTGTATGTTAAATAAGGTATCGATCACAGAAACACATATAAAACAGGTTATATGTTGAATGGTTGACCAGAGGTTTATAGGAACCTGAGCCTGTACTTTTGCCAGGAGCAGTAGTTCAGTATTTGCTAAGGCAGTGTTCACATTGACTTTATAGAATGTAATTACCAGGAATAATGATAATTAACCATATCCTAAAATCTTGAACTCCTATAATGTTAATGCCATAAAATTCATTAATTTCACCTTTAAAGTTGAATTTTAATAAACTATTTACAGAAGGTTATCTCGTTTTTTCTTAAAATGTTTATATTTGCTAATTTTGAATAACCTGCAGCCTTTTCCCCTCTATTTTAGATGGAAAACAGCTGAAAAGTGGTTTCTTGATGCATTGGAAAAAATTAAAGCAATTGGGAATGAGGTATCTTATGTAACATCTGTAACTCTTGTGTGTGTTTGTTGTTGAATGAGAACAATAATATGGACAAAGTCTTGCCTGGGAGATAAAGGGCTAATATTTATCATGGCAAATGTCTTGTTAATGTTTGAATTTCAGGCATTTATTTTGCTGCATGGTGTAAAATGAGTTTGTTTCTAACTGAGAAGGTAGATGTCAACTGTTTGCTTCCTAGGAGGCTTTGATATGTGGGAGTAATCAGAATATATTTGATGATTTTTTGATATGGGGAATATGTGACAGTTAGTGGATACTAGTGGGCACTGTAGCATCTAACATAAGATGTCCTCTAGAACTGAAGAGGCTCCTCTTGAATTAATGGGTAAGTATACAGCACCCACCTCTGTAGGAATAAGGCCAGGTATCATTTTATTCAGACCTATCATGGCTCTTCCTGACCTTGTAGTTACTACATATTTAGACCTCTCAAGGTTTGAGAGATTTTGCTAGGTTCTACCATATGAAAGACGTGTGCTCATGAATTAACCTTCTGCTAGCTTGGATGTGTATATGTGGGTATTTTTTAAAAATAATATTAATTTTAGATACTGTCAACTTCTGTAGGTAAGGGATTTGCATATTGCTACTTTTCTAGTTCTTGATTCTTTTTATTCACATCTATTTTGTTTTGTGCCATTCTGATTGTCACTTCCCATTTTTACTCTGTTCCTATTTGGGCCGCCTTGCTTATAACCCACATCTTCCTTGGTGCTGGTTCCCTTCACTGACACAGACACAGCTCCCTTGGGGTCCCTGCCAAGTCTCTTATTTGTCATACATATGAACTTAAAAACACTGTATTTCTGTGTGTTGGCACATCTTTTATATAAAACAGGTTCTTTTTTTTTTTTTTAATGTTTATTTTGAGAGACAGAGCGAGCTGGGGAGGGGCAAAGAGAGGGAGACAGGATCCAAAGCAGGCTCTGCGCTGACAGCAGAGAACCTGGTGTGTGGCTCGAACCTACGAACCATGACCTGAGCCGAAGTTGGATGCCTAACCAACTGAGCCACCCAGGCACCCCTATAAAACAGGGTCTTGAACAGCTCAGTCTTGGGTGGTCTGGATAATAAATGTTTTTGTTATATGGGATGGCCACATACCACCTTGCTAGTTTTCATAGTAGGATACCTTAGGGCCTTGCTGCTCTAATGGGACCAGCTGCATCAGCATCACCTGGAAGCTCACTAGAAGTGTAGGGTCCCAGGTCTACTGTGTCACGTCTGCAGTTCTAGCAAGATCCAAGATTCTCATGCTCAGAGAAGTTTAGGATGCACTGTCACAAACTACACTTAGAGTTGAAACTATATTCGTTGATGATCGGAGAGCACTGTGGAGCCTTGCAGAAATTTACAGTAATGGCTTTAAGTACAAATGCCTAGTGCTACTGAAAGTTATGTGAAAAGGGGGAAATACTGTTTGCCTTCAGTTGTAAACTACAGCAAATGTCCAAACAGCCAAAGGGAAGCAATGTGCCTAAGAACCATGAAGGGTTTGTTTCCATTCTCATAGGCCACACCTCCTGGAGCCAGGCTCATGGGAGCTGGAGACTATGGCTCAGATCTGTTGCCTGGTTAGCTCAGACTGACTGATGTGTGTTGACTGTGTCCTAAGCTCTGAGCTAGGTGTTGGGAGGAAGTAGGAAACTGACGTGATAGCTCCTGGCCTTAGACCTGTTGGGGATTGCAGATAAGTAAATTGGCAGTAATGATACAGTGCACAAAAAAGGCCATGATTGAGGAAATAAAGAAACTCACGCAAGGGAGCAGTTAACTGGAATTTGAGGATGGGCCAAGAAAACCTCGTGGATACAGTTGTGACATTTCAGTCCTAAAACATGAGCAGATATGTTTTGCCAAGCAGAAGTGAGGAAAAGAGTGTATTAGGTATAGAGAATGGTATGTGCCAAGTTGGAGCTAATCGAGAATGTCAAGAAATGGGTCAGGAGGGCTGAGTGTGGATCGTCAAGGGCCTTGTACCTTATCTTGAGGTGGTTGGGCCCAGACAAGACTTGTTACATGGAGGTTGGCGTTATGCTGGGGCAGCTGATGAATAAGCCTTCGGTAGTTGCTAGGGGTTAGGGTTGACATGGGTGCCGGGCATGAGAGGCAGGCACTTAGAAGGGCGTGAGGTTGGGGAGCTGGGAGGGCAGGAGAGAGGGTAAGAGATGAACGGGTGGCATGCTGGATTTGCAGTGCTTATGAGGTTTCCAAGTGGGAATGTTTAGTAGGCAGATGGAAAGCTCTGGGCTCAAGATACAGAATTTGAATGTCAGCACAGACGGGCTCATTAACAGTGTTGTGCTAATAAAATAACAGCATCCTCAGGAAGTCTCTTCTAATAGGAAAGAAAGATGGAGAATCCACAAATACTCTGCTTTGTGCTGTGCAGTCACCGCCAGAGAGGGCGGCCTGCTTCACTGTGTGCAGTGGTGTGGTTGAATGCGCGTGACTGGAAAGTGGCACATGAGTCATGGGTTTGGTGTTGCTGTGTTTCAGGTGACAGTTGACAAATGGGAGCCTTTGTTGAACAACTTGGGGCATGTCTGCAGGAAGCTTAAGTAAGTGAACTAGGACCATTGCAGAAACATTCTTTGCGATTAAACGTTTACTTAATTTTGCGTAGCCTTTCTCCATGTTTTGTTTTGTTTTTTAAGGTTTTTATTTTTAAGTAATCTCCACCTAACATGGGGCATGAACTCATAACCCCTAGATTAGGAGTTGTATGCTCTACCAACTGAGCCAGCCAGGCACCCTTCTTTTCCCATATTTTTATTTTGAGGTCCTCCAGCTTTATACTTTGCTTCTCAGACACAGCAAGCATCAAAATAATTATCTCTAGTGAGTTTTATTATCTCTTTTTTTATTATCCCTGGTAGTATAATTTTATTTTAGAAATATAGAGAGTTACAGTTCTCTAATAAATTTCATTTTCTTAGATAAAAAAATGGGTATTCAAAATTAATTTGGAAGAATTAGGACAGTAGGGTTTATTTAAAACCATATCCATATTCTAACTTACTGTTTTTCTCTAGTTTCCAGTTTTATGATGTGATAAACAGCATTGCAAAAATAGATTCTTTGGCTCAATATGTTTGGGAAACTCTAGGTTACTCAAAATTTAATAGGTTTTTCTATTTCAGAATATGTTGGTGTCTTGAGTTTTCATTATGAGCTGCAGCATTTCCCAAACCTTATTGAACCTTCTTCTCACGAAAGATTTTACAGGGCAGGAATTCCAGAGAACTTAGGAAAATACTGTTCAAGTGACTTCTTTGGACCTTAAAGCAAAAACCTTTGGTTGCTTTTAACCACCCCCAGTGTGGGAGGTTTGTCTGGCCCCAAAAGAGACCTTGCAGTGTGGTGGGGCACAGGACCCAGGGCCAGAGGTTATGTTCTGGCTCATGTCTCCCACCTGTGTCCCTGTGGGAGCACCTTCAGCTGGCTGGGTGAGAAGGGCAGGAAGATCCATTTAGGAAGGTGTCAAGGTACCCGAAGGTGGTATAACCATTCTGGATGGTTACTGTGATGTACCAGATTGTTTTTGATGTTGGCACATGGATGAATACTCATCTTAGATCTAGAAAGTCAGTACTTTCACTGTACCCACTAATTGTTTTCTCTTTCTTCCCGTTCTTTCTGCTCTCAACTCCCTGTCTTTTCTTCTCTCACAGAAAGTATGCCGAGGCCTTGGATTATCACCGTCAGGCACTGGTGTTAATTCCTCAGAACGCGTCTACCTATTCTGCCATAGGGTATATCCATAGTCTGATGGGCAACTTTGAAAATGCTGTTGACTATTTCCACACAGTATGTCTAGTTAACATTTATCACTTTTTTTTTTTTTTTGAGAAGATCTTTTCTAGCCAACATTGTATTTACCATTTTAAAATTCTTCAGACGACTTTGTAGTTTCTTCTTTCCTTTCCAGAGAAAAGAATGTGTGTGTGATACTCATCAAATTAGAGACAAATGTGAGACTTAGGTCCTAAGTGTGCAGTCAGACATACATGTGTGCATGAGGTTTGTGGGCCTCATCTGAGCTGGGCATCACGTCTGGGCAAGAAAAAAGAAATTCTGGTCTCTCTGTTTAGGACTTATAGTTAAAGTCCTAAAGTCATGAATCACTAGCGCGTTTATTTATTTTTTGAGAGCAGGGAGAGGAGACAGATGAGCATGAACAGGGGAGGTCAGAGGGGAGACGTCTGAAACAGGCTCCAGGCTCTGAGCTGTCGCCTGGGAGCCGCTTGGCGATGAAACTCGAACTCACAGACCGAGAGATCATGACCTGAGCCGAAGTCGGCTGCTTAACCGACTGAGCCACCCAGGCGCCCCACCTTTGATCACTTTAGTTGGTGAACAAAACATCTGTGTCATCACAAGGAAAGAATCTCACGTCATACTTCACTAGACCTAAGACACCATCAGTAAGCAGGTTGGGTGCCCCGCCCCCCAACACACAGACAAACCTTTAAACTTTACACAATTCTTTCCAATCTCTCAGTTTTTTGGTACTTAGAAAAAGCACTCTTTTGGGGCACTCTTTTTGGGCATATTAGGACATAGGTTTTTTTTCAGAGATGACTCTAGTTAATCTACATAAAAAAGAAAATATAAGTGAAACAAATACTTAAGATGCTCTATTCTTTACATTCAGAGTTTGGTTCTTTTAAATCACTTTCGTACCAGGCGGTCAGTGTCCCTGTTTTCCTGGGGCTGGCACGTATACCCTGTTCTTGAAGGTTTTTCCCAAAGGCGTTGACTATGCAAATCTTATGCTGCCAGAAGGTGTCAACGCAAGGATTTTAGGCAACAGTCTCAGTTCCTGTATTTTTGAGTGTTCACGTGGTTTCAAATCTAGTCTGTACATCACCACGGCTACCCACGCAAAACACCCTCATCACAGCTGTGGCCAGCTGACAGCAGTAGTAAGAAACCACCAGTAGTTTAAAGCGTCCCAAGTTCAGAAATGTTAGAATAAAAAAAAAAAAAAGGGTGTTAGAATTGATGAAATAATGGTATTTGGAGAGAAAGATAAAATCAGAAAATGCATAGGGTTGGTTAGAGATTTTCAGATGAGATCAAGTCCTGAAGATGCCATTATGATAACTAGGATACTGAGCTAGGCAGAAGTGTAGACTGGCAGCTTTTCTGGTTTGGGTGATATTTCGAATGTGTGTATTTGAAGATTCTATAATTTACCTCTCTTCTGTGATGTAATTTAATGCAGAAGACTTAGAAGGCTCTATGTGGAGACAAAGTTTTGAAAATCTTTTTGGAAGACTGGGATTTCAAACATAAACAGTGGTGTGATAACCCTACATGTGCCCATCGCCCAACTGCAACAGACATCAACTCATGGCCACTCTTGTAGCCCCCCCCCCATCCCCTCTGATTCCCTGTAGTGTTTTGAATGGAGTCCTGCAGGAATATTTTTAAATGAAAGAGAAGGAAATACATTTTCTTGTAATAACCATGCTGAATCTTTTCTGCAGGCCCTTGGTCTTAGGCGGGATGATACATTTTCTGTTACAATGCTTGGTCATTGCATTGAGATGTACATTGGTGATTCTGAAGCTTACATTGGTAAGATTATAATTAATTACTCTGATTGACGTTGCATCCCATTCTTTAGATTGTTGTATATCTCTGTTTAGGTTTATCAAATCTCATGTAAGGTTTTAAGTTTAACTTTCTAACCATTTAACTATATTATTAAGAAACTCCATTTATTTGTTGGAAAATTCTGTGGGAATTAATGGCTCATTAAGTGTTTGTTCAGTTTATAATTGAGTACTTGGTATATGCAAAATACTATTATGGAGTATGTGTAAAGTGCTGTGATATACAAGAATCAATCTAATTAATTGCAAGGCACCTGGCTGGCTCAATTAGTAGAGTGTGTGACTCTTGATTGCGGGGTTGTGAGTTCAAGCCCCACGTTGGGTGTAGAAATTACTTAAAAATAAAATCTTAAAAAGAAAAAGTGTTAAAACAATCTAAATTGCATAATGGGAAAAAACCCTAGAGACTTTTTAATTTCCAATAGTTTCTAATTTCTAATAAGTAAATGAAAACACTCTGGCCTTAATACTTTATAATGAGGTTTGTAGCATATTAATAACATTAATTTTTGCATTTCAGTGGACAGTTAAGCTGGCTTACATTCACACATTACAGTGCTGTGTAATTTTTTAAGTATTTTTTTTGGTAATGATAAGCAAGTGTTAAGATAAATTTGGGTAGAATTGCTGTCCTTGGGCCTTCATTTAGTGACAAACATTGTAAGGTAAAGAGGGTGTAATGAAGTTAAACTCGAGGTCTGGACTTTGGGGTAGGCAAAGATTTCTTTCACAGGACAAAAAACCATGAGAGGAAAGCAGTGTTCAAGTAGGCTTCAGTAAAATTGAGAACTTTGTTCATCAAAACACTGTTAACAGAGTGAAAAGGCATGTCATAGACTGAGAGAACTTACAATTTATAGACTGGTCAGAGCTTGTGTCTAGAATACAAAAAATCCTATAAATTGGTGAGAAAAAGTTCAGTCAAAGATGGGTCCAGAATGGGCAAAATACCTGAACAGGAGCCTCACCAAAGAGGCTGTCTGCCAAAGCAAATGAATGTCTGTACTGTCCTCGCATATTATGGAAATGAAATTAAAACCATAACAAGATGTCACTGCACACCTGCAAAATGGCTACAAGTGAAAACACCGCTAGTGCCTAGTGTTGGTAATGACATATACACCTGGTATGCTTGTATATTATTGGTGGTTGGTGCTCATAGCAGGTAGAACCACTTTGGAAAACTGTTCAACGTATCTGCTAAAGTTAAACCTGTTAAAGCAGTTATCTGTTGCTCCCTAATAAGCTACACCAACCGACAAGGATGTATTACCTGTCTCAGCTCTGTAGGTTGATTGGTGGCTCATTTACCGGTCTCATCGCTAATGCAGCTGTGGTCAGCAGTCACTTGATGGGTTGACGGGCTAAGATGGCCTTATGCACAGATGGGGACCTCAGCCAACCCAGCTGGGCCTCTCATGGGTCTTTCAGACTTCTCCATAGCATGGAGGTCTCAGGGTTCTAACAACAAGAACTAATGCCTCAAGACCTCTTGAAAGCTGGAAGTTTCCTAGAATCACTTCCGTCACATTCTGTTCAGCACAAGTCATGTGATCGAGTGCATTGTCATCAGGGGTGGGGTGTGATTCATTGGGGTGTTAGGGTGCTGACCTACCATGCTGCTCTTAAGCCATAGCAGTTCTCCTCCCAGGTGTGTGCCCAGTGGATCGATGTCTCTGTAAGCCAATGCTTACATGCAGAGTTGTTCACAGCAGCTGTTTGTAACCACACCTAACTAGAAATAACTGGATGTTCATGAGTAGGAGAATGGGGAAGTGAATTGTGGCAAGCATAAGCGGTAGAGTACTACACAGTTAAAGGGACCAACGATGAAGTCACACTGTAACCTAGGTGAATCTCCCAGATTTTGACAAAAAGAATATATACTGATAAATTCCATTTATGTGAAGAGTAGTTAATCATAAGCAAAATTGATCAGTGGTGATAGAAAAATTAGAGCGGTGATTCCTTCTGGTTTGGGAAGGGGAGGTGTTCACTGGAAAGGGCGTGAGGTGGTTTTCTGGGAACTGGAGGTGTTCTCTTTGTGGTCTGGTGGTGGTCATGTGGGTATATGTGTATGTGAGAACTTGCCCAGCTCTGCACACTTTTTACGGTGTGTATGTTGTGGCTCATTTTTTTAAAGCTAAAACAGAAAGCTTGAGCTCTGGCACCCTAAAGACCCTGAGTTGGTATCTCAACTCTGCCACCAAGCCCTGTGGCTTTGGGTAAGTCTGAGCCTCAGTTTCCTCTTTTGTTTGAGGAGGGTCTTACAACAGGCTTAAATGAAAAATTCTTATAAAGCTAAGGAAGGTCTGGAGGTAGGGTACTGAGTGAGACAGACATTTTGCCTGTCCTCACAAAGATAATGGTCTTACAGAGATTTCCAAGTGTATTAGTCATTACTTACTATTTATATACATTTTTTATTCAGGTATAATTGTCATGTAACATTAGTTTCAGGTGTATACCATAATTCAGAATTTGTACATATTGTGAAATGATCACCACGGTAAGTCTAGTTAACATTCATCACCATACATAGTTAGAAATTATTTTTCTTTTAGTGAGAACTTTTAAAATCTTCTGTCTTAGCACCTTTCAAATGTGCAATACAGTATTTAATCACCGTGCTGTACTGTTTTTCTTTTTAGAAGGCTTGTTTGTCATTATCTGTCAAAACACCTGTTGCTGAAACCTATTAGTTTGAACTGTGTAAAATTATTTTGTGTCAGAAATGATTGAACCTAATACATCTGTTGGAAATCTCTTCTCCATCATTCATAAGATTTTGATGTGTGGAAAGTGTATTTCCCCTCACTGTGTTTCTGTGTGCATAAGGGTGCAACTGCACCGATGCCAGAATGCCAGTGGGCTGTTCTTGTTTGTAACCTGCAAGGGCAAGTGCCTGCTGTGGCTCCCTTGTGTGTGGGGGCTTTAGGGATGGTGCCGCTGCCACATGGGGCTTGAAGTACATGTGCTTGTCAGTCTCCCAGCAGCCGCCCTTGATAATTGAGAAAAAGAAGAGGAGGAGAGTGATTGGAATTTCTCCTTCTGAGCTGTACTTGTGCTCAAAAGTACCATTGGACTTAGGGGTGCCTGGGTGGCTCAGTCCGTTGAGCATCCGATGGCTTCCACTCAGGTCATGGTCTTGCAGTTTGTGGGTTCCAGCCCCTCATTGGGCTCTGTGCTGACAGCTCAGAGCCTGGAACCTGCTTTGGGTTCTGTCTCCTTGTGTGTGCCCCTCCCCTGCTTGTGTTCGTTCTCTCTCTCTCTCTCTCTCTCAAAAATAAAAATAAACATTAAGAAATAAAAAAAGTACCATTGGACCTAAACGTTGGAGGTGGTGCTACATACATGGTGATGGAAATGATAGATAATGACGGGGTTTCTTATTTTATTCTCCTTGTGGTATTCCCTTTTAGGAGCAGACATTAAAGACAAATTAAAATGTTATGACTTTGATGTGCATACAATGAAGACACTAAAAAACATTATTTCACCTCCGTGGGATTTCAGGGAATTTGAAGTAGAAAAACAAACTGCAGAAGAAACGGGGCTTGCACCACTGGAAACCTCAAGGAAAACTCCAGATCCCAGACCTTCCTTGGAAGAAACCTTTGAAATTGAAATGAACGAAAGTGACATGATGTTAGAGACATCTATGTCAGACCACAGTAGTTGATTGCAGACAGATCTCCATTCCATTTCGCCTTGGGGGAGGTTGGGGTTTCCTCACACCCTTGTCCTGTCTTCAGAATTTCCCATTTCTTAACACGAATCCAGACTGCACCTCTACATTTAGGAATGGGGGCCTGCCAAAAGAGACTGGACTGCACACCTTTGCAACAGGTGTTTTCTGACCCTACAAAACAATTATAGGTAGAGGAATAAAGAGGTAAATTGTGTATTATGTCTGTTTTTCCTTTTTCAATAAACTTTCATTTTCAGAATAATTTTAGTCTTATGAAAAAGCTTCAGAGACTGCACAGAGAGCTCCCATAGGACCCCTAGACAGTTTCTCCCTGTTCTCATCTTACGTGACTTTGAAATCTTTGTCATGACAAAGAGGCGCACATTGGTACGCTACAAGTAATGGAACTCTGAGCTGTATTTGGATTTCACCATTTTCCCATTAATGTCCTCTTCCTGCCCTGCATCTTATCCAGGGGCCACACTGCACTTAGCTGTCACATCTTGGGCTCCCCTTGGCTGTGACCATGTGTCAGACTTCTGTGACATTTGAGGAAGGGGATTTGAGGAAGACTGGTCAGATGTCTTGTAGAATGTCCCTCAGTTGGAGTTTGATGTATTTCTCATACTGGACTAGGGTTATTTGTTTTGGGGAAAAAGTACACAGATGGGAATGAAGTATCTTTCTCATCACATGTCAGAGGGTGTATAATATAACATGACTTATCACGGATGGTGTGAATCTTGACCACGTGGTTACAATGATGCCTACCAAGTTTTTCCACTGTAAAGTTACTGTTTTTCCCTGCCTGTAATGTGTGATTTAGAAGCAAATCATGAAGTTCAGCCTATCCTCAATAGGACCAAGGTTGTTTTTGTTTGTTTGTTTTTAGGACCAAGGGCTCCACCATCTGGGGGGGGGGGTCTATCTGCACATATTTGGAAATCTTCTGTAACAAAAATTTGTGTCTTCTCCCATTTATTCAGCCATTAGTTAAGTATTATCAAAAATCAATATGTATACATATGTATATGTATACATATTTTGTATTTTAAGTTATAATCCTACACAATATTATATTAGGGCTTCATTTTTTTTTTTAACGTTTATTTATTTTTGAGACAGAGACAGAGCATGAACAGGGGAGGGGCAGAGAGAGAGGGAGACACAGAATCTGAAACAGGCTCCAGGCTCTGAGCTGTCAGCACAGAGCCCGACGCGGGGCTCGAACTCACGGACTGCGAGATCATGACCTGAGCCGAAGTCAGACGCTCAACCGACCAAGCCACCCAGGCGCCCCAGGGCTTCATTATTTCAACTTTGGCCATTGGGACCTCTTGAGCCTCGCTCCTGTGTCCCTGTGATATAACCTCATCCATTTTTGTTGTGATTCTTTGTTCTGGTAAAATACACATAACATGAACTATGGGCTTTAGTTAATAATGCATCACTATTGATACAAATGTCGCAGTGCAAGGTGCGGATACAGGTGTGGTGGGGAGCATGTGGGAACTTGTGCTTTTCCATTTTTCTGTAACCTAGTGCTCTAAGAAATTGTGTGCATGTGTGGGTATAGATATGGGTAGGTAGCCATTTTAACCAATTTCAAGTGTACATTTCAGTGGTACTTATTTCCAGTTTTTTTTCATTCTTGCAAATAAGTTTTGTACCCATTTGGGCAGGAACTCCACACATGTCCTCCCCCCAGCCTTTGGTAACCTCTAATCTACTTTATGTCTGAATTTGCTTATTCTAGACCATATAAGTGGAATCACACAATATTTGTCCTTTCGTGTATGACTTTACCTAGCATATTTTTTAAATAAAAGTATTTATTTTTGAGAGAGCGCATACAAGCTGGGGAGGGGCAGAGAGCAAAGGGGACAGAGGATCTGAAAACAGGCTGTGTGCTGACAGCAGAGAACCTGATGTGGGGATTGAACTCACAAAACCTGAGATCATGACCTGAGCCAAAGTCGGATACTTACTAGATGCCCCTATCAAGCATATTTTTAAGGTTCATTCCTGTTGCAGCTTTTACCAGAACTTTATTCCTTTTATGGCTCAATAATATTCCATAATGTACATCACATTGATTTATGGATGGATATGAGTTATTTCCATCTCTTGGCTATTGTGAATAATGCTGTGAGCATGCATGTGTAAACATCTGAGTCCCTGTTTTCTGTTCCTTTGGGTATTTGCCTAGGAGGGGAATTGGCTCATGTGATAATCCAATGCTTAACTTTTTATTTTTACATGTTTTTAAATATTTATTTTTGAGAGAGAGACAGAGTGCAAGCAGGGGAGGGGCAGAGAGAGAAGGAGACACAGAATCCAAAGCAGCTCCAGGCTCTGAGCTGTCAGCACAGAGCCTGATGTGGGGCTCAAACTCACAAACTGTGAGATCATGACCTGAGCCGAAGTCAGATGCTTAACTGACTGAGCCACCCAGGGGCCCCATTCAGTGCTTAACTTTTTGAGGAACTGGGCAACTTTCTACAGCAACTGCCCATTTTACATTCCCGCCCCCAGAGCATGAGGTTCCAATTCCTCTGCACCCTCACTGGGACTTTTATTTTTTGTTGTTACAGTCCACTCCAGTGGGAAGTAGCTGTTTCGTTTGTGTTTCCCTAATAACTAGTGATATTGAGCATCTTATCCTGAATTTCCTGGCCATTTGTATGTCTGTTTTGCAAAACTGTCTATTCAGATCTTATGGCCACTTTGTGTGTGTGTGTGTGTGTGTGTGTGTGTGTGTGTGTGTGTAAGTTTATTTTTGAGAAAGAGAGAACACAAGCAGGGGAGGGGCAGAGAGAGAGAGACACAGAATCCAAAGCAGAATCCACACTCAGCACAGAGCCCAATGTGGGGCTTGAAATCAAACTGTGGGATCATGATCTGAGCCGAAATCAAGAGTCAGATGGTTAACTGACTGAGCCACCCAGGTGCCCCCTTATGCCCACTTTTAAATTGAGCTGTTTCTTTTTGTTGTTGAGCTATAGGAGTCCTGTATTGGTTTTGAATATTAAATCCGTGTCAGATATGTGATTTGCACATATCTTCTCCCATTCTGTGAGTTGTCTTTTCACTCTCTTGATAGTGTCCTTTGATATACAAATTTTTAATTGAATGAAGTCCAATTTATTGTTTCTTTTGTTTATGGTGTTTTTGGTGTCATATTTACAAAACCATTGCCAAATCCAAGGTTATGCAGATTTTCACTAAAGTTTTCTTCTAAGATTTCCATAAATTTACGTCTTTGATCCATTTTGAATTAATTTGTCTAAATGTTGTAAGCTGTGTTCAACTTCATTCTTTGGTGTGTGGATATTCAGTTTTCCCAGCACCATTTCTTAAAGAGACTGTCCTTTCCCCATTGAATAGTGTTGGCATTCATGTCAAAAATCAGTTGATGGTAGACATATCTGGGTGGCTCAGTTGGTTAAATAAATGTCCAACTCTTGGTTTTGACTCAGGTCTTGATCTCACGGTTTGTGAGTTCGAGCCCCATGTCAGGCTCTGTGCTGACAGCATTGAGCCTGCATGCGATTCTCTCTCCTTTCGGCTTGCTCTCTCTCTCTCTCTCTCTCTCTCAAAATAAATAAACTTAAAAAAAAAAAAACTTAATTGATGACAAATATGAGAGTTTATTTCCGGGGTCTGGATTCTATTCCATTGGTCCATATGTGTATCCTTAGGCTAGTTCCACACTGTTTTGATTACTATAGCTTTATAAGTAGGCTTTGAAATTAGGGTGTGTGAATCCTCCAACTTCTTCTTTTTCAAGATTGTTTTGGCTGTTGTGGCTTCCTCGAATTACCATATGAATTTAGAATGTTTTTTTCCCCCCATTTCTGAAAAAAGATGGCATTGGGATTTTCATAGAGATTTCATTGAATTTGTGTGTCTTCTTAATATTATATCATCTAATCCATAAACAAAAACTGTCTTTCCATTTAATTATGTCATTTTTTATTTCTTCCAGCAGTGCTTGTAGTTTTCATTGTGCAAGTCTTTTACCTCTTTGGTTAAATTTATTCCCAAGTATTTTATTATTTTTTTGGATGCTATTATAAATGGAATTGTTCTCTTAGTTTCCTTTTTTTGATTGTTCATTCCTAGTGTATAGAGAAACAACTGTTTTTTGTGTGTTGACTTAGTATCCTGAATGTATTTATTAGCTTTAACAGTTTGTGCATGCGTGTATGTATGTGTACATGTAGAGCTTTCTACATAATAGGATCGTGTCATCTGCAAATAGAGATAGTTTTACTTCTTTTTTTTGAATTTGGATTGTATTTATTTCTTCCCACTTGCATAACTTCTCTGACTCGAACTCCAGTATTACGTTGAATAGATGTGAGAAGCAGGCATCTTTGTCCTGTCCTTGATCGTAGGACAGGCTTGATCCAAGGCTTCAGTCTTTCACCATCAAGGGTAATGCTATTGTAGGTTCTCATCGATGCCCTTCATAGTTTTGGAGGAGTTCTCTTCTATTCCTACTCTATTGAGTGCTTAGTTGTTTCATCAAGAAAGGTTGCAAATTTTGTCAAATGCTTTTTTTTCTTTTTTTTTTTTAGGTGGATCAATGTGATGATGAGGGGTAATGAGTTCTAGGATTTCAGGGCTGTTGAGGGAAAAACATGACCATAAGGTGGCAGTAGCATATTTTATTTGGGCAAGTGTATTTGAGCGGCTCTTTGGGGGCGATGTGGTAGCAGGGTGACAGGAAGAGGAGGTTAGAGAAGACTGAAGCGCAGTGGCTGTGTGGTCCTTCATAGTCCCAGGGTGTGTCTTATGTACAGGTTGCAGATGCTGCGTGTAGATTTACCCAGTATGCAAAACAGGCAGGCTCTAGATGGCTAAAGATACGCTTGTTTAAGCTATATTTAAAACAATGATATGTGTAAAAATTGGACTTGGCATTGTTGGGCTTGAGCTAACCAACCCCGTCTGCTGTGAAGAAGTAAACAACATAGGCTTCAATA